TTTCAGCAAAACAAGACTGACAGCGGTGGGATTCGAACCCACGCCTCCGAAGAGACTGGAGCCTTTATCCAGCGCCTTAGACTGCTCGGCCACGCTATCGTGTAGCACAGCCTGCCCACTGACCTGCCGCAGTGGCAGGTCAGCTACCTCAGCTACCTGTAGCTGGGGCAGCTACATGTAGGCGGGTGAGCTACCTGGTGGCGGATGCCACTTCCTGGTGGCGGGTCAACTACCTGTAGGCAGGGTGTCCTCCGTGGACACCGCCATGTCGCTGTTGAATTTCGTATTGAATGTGAATTATTGTCTTTCAGCAAAACCCTTTTGACAGCGGTGGGATTCGAAACCCACGCCTTTGAAGTGACTGGGGCCTTAATCCAGCACCTTACACCGCTCGGCCACGCTGTCACGTAGCACAGCCCACCCACTGACCTGCCGCAGGTCAGCTACCTGTAAGCGGATGCGCTACCTGGTGGCGGGTCAGCTACCTGTAGGCAGGGTGTCCTCCATGGAGCTCTGTCGCTGTTGACTATCGTATTGAATGTGAATTATTGTCTTTCAACAAGACCGTAGTGACAGCGGTGGGATTCGAACCCACGCCTCCGAAGAGACTGGAGCCTTAATCCAGCGCCTTAGACCGCTCGGCCACGCTATCGTGTAGCACAGCCCGCCCACTGACCTGCCGCAGTGGCAGGTCAGCTACCTCAGCTACCTGTAGGTGAGTCAGCTACATGTAGGCAGGTCAGCTACCTTGTGGCGGGTCAGCTAACCGGGTCCACTTCCTGCCCCCAGGAAGTGGACCCGCCTACAGGTAGCTGACCCGCCACCAGGTAACGAACCAGGAAGCTGACCCGCCTACATGTAGCTGACCCACCTGTAGGCAGGGTGTCCTCTGTGGAGCCGTGTCGCTGTTGAATTTCGTATTGAATGTGAATCATTGTCTTTCAGCAAAACAAGACTGACAGCGGTGGGTTTCGAACCAAACCAAGAGACTGGAGCCTTAACCCAACGCCTTAGACCGCTCGGCCATGCTATCGTGTTACACGGCCCGCCCGCTGACCTGCCGCAGTGGCAGGTCAACTACCTCAGCTACCTGTAGGCGGGTCCGCTCCCTGGTGGCGGATCCGCTTCCTGGTGGCGGGGGTGTCCTCCGTGGACACCGCCGTGTCGCTGTTGAATTTCGTATTGAATGTGAATTATGGTCTTTCAGCAAAACACTTTTGACAGCGTCGGGATTCGAACCCACGCCTTTGAAGTGACTGGCGCCTTAATCCAGCACCTTACACCGCTCGGCCACGTAGCACAGCCCACCCCCTGACCTGCCGCAGGTCAGCTACCTGTAAGCGGATGCGCTTCCTGGTGGCGGGTCAGCTACCTGTAGGCAGGGTGTCCTCCATGGAGCTCTGTCGCTGTTGACTATCGTATTGAATGTGAATTATTGTCTTTCAACAAGACCGTACTGACAGCGGTGGGATTCGAACCCACGCCTCCGAAGAGACTGGAGCCTTAATCCAGCGCCTTAGACCGCTCGGCCACGCTATCGTGTAGCACAGCACGCCCACTGACCTGCTGCAGTGGCAGGTCAGCTACCTCAGCTACATGTAGGCGGGTCAGCTACTTGGTGGGAGGTCAGCTACCTGTAGGCGGGTCAGCTAACCGGGTCCACTTCCTGCCCCCAGGAAGTGGACCCGCCTACAGGTAGCTGACCCGCCACCAGGTAACGCACCAGGAAGCTGACCCGCCTACATGTAGCTGACCCACCTGTAGGCAGGGTGTCCTCTGTGGAGCCGTGTCGCTGTTGAATTTCGTATTGAATGTGAATCTTTGTCTTTCAGCAAAACAAGAGTGACAACGGTGGGATTCGAACCCACGCCTCTGAAGTGACTGGCGCCTTAATCCAGCGCCTTACACCGCTCGGTGCCGCAGTGGCAGGTCAGCTACATGTAGGCAGGGTGTCTTCCGTGGAGCTCTGTCGCTGTTGACTATGGTATTGAATGTGAATTATTGTCTTTCAACAAGACCGTACTGACAGCGGTGGGATTCGAACCCACGCCTCCGAAGAGACTGGAGCCTTAATCCAGCGCCTTAGACCGCTCGGCCACGCTATCGTGTAGCACAGCCCGCCCACTGACCTGCCGCAGTGGCAGGTCAGCTACCTCAGCCACCTGTAGGTGGGTCCGCTTCCTGGTGACAGGTCAACTACCTGTAGGCAGGTCAGCTTCCAGGTGGTGGGTCAAGTACATGTAGGCGGGTCCGCTTCATGGTGGCGGGTCCGCTACCTGGTGGCGGGTCCGCTACCTGGTGGCGGGTCAGCTAACTGGAGGTGGGTCAACTACATGTAGGCGGGTCCGCTTCCTGGTGGCGGGTCCGCTACCTGGTGGCGGGTCAACTACCTGTAGGCGAGTCAGCTACCGGGTGACGGGTCAACTACCTGTAGGCAGGGTGTCCTCCGTGGGGCTCTGTCGCTGTTGACTATCGTATTGAATGTGAATTATTGTCTTTCAACAAGACCGTAGTCACAGCGGTGGGATTCGAACCCACGCCTCCGAAGAGACTGGAGCCTTAATCCAGCGCCTTAGTCCGCTCGGCCACGCTATCGTGTAGCACAGCCCGCCCACTGACCTGCTGCAGTGGCAGGTCAGCTACCTCAGCTACATGTAGGCGGGTCAGCTACTTGGTGGGAGATCAGCTACCTGTAGGCGGATCAGCTAACCGGGTCCACTTCCTGGGGGCAGGAAGTGGACCCGCCTACAGGTAGCTGACCCGCCACCAGGTAGCGCACCAGGAAGCTGACCCGCCTACATGTAGCTGACCCACCTGTAGGCAGGGTGTCCTCTGTGGAGCCGTGTCGCTGTTGAATTTCGTATTGAATGTGAATCATTGTCTTTCAGCAAAACAAGAGTGACAGCGGTGGGATTCGAACCCACGCCTCTGAAGTGACTAGCGCCTTAATCCAGCGCCTTAGACCGCTCGGTGCCGCAGTGGCAGGTCAGCTACATGTAGGCAGGGTGTCTTCCGTGGAGCTCTGTCGCTGTTGACTATGGTATTGAACGTGAACTATTGTCTTTCAACAAGACCGTACTGACAGCGGTGGGATTCGAACCCACGCCTCCGAAGAGACTGGAGCCTTAATCCAGCGCCTTAGACCGCTCGGCCACGCTATCGTGTAGCACAGCCCGCCCACTGACCTGCCGCAATGGCAGGTCAGCTACTTCAGCTACCTTTAGCTGGGGCAGCTACATGTAGGCGGGTCAGCTACTTGGTGGGAGGTCAGCTACCTGTAGGCAGATGCGCTTCCTGGTGGCGGGTCAACTACCTGTAGGCAAGGTGTCCTCCGTGGAGCCGTGTCGCTGTTGAATTTCGTATTGAATGTGAGTAATTTTCTTTCAGCAAAATCGTTCTGACAGCGGTGGGATTCGAACCCACGCCTCCGAAGAGACTGGAGCCTTAATCCAGCGCCTTAGACCGCTCGGCCACACTATCGTGTAGCATAGGCCGCCCGCAGACCTGCCGCAGTGGCAGGTCAGCTACCTCAGCTACCTGTAGGTGAGTCAGCTACATGTAGGCAGGTCAGCTACCTGGTGGCGGGTCAGCTACATGTAGGCGGGTCAGCTTCCTGGTGCGGTACCTGGTGGCGGGTCAGCTACCTGTAGGCGGGTCCACTTCCTGCGGGCAGGTCAGCTACCTGGTGGCGGGTCAACTACATGTAGGCGGGTCCGCTCAGGTAGCTGACCCGCCACCAGGTAGCGCACCAGGAAGCTGACCCGCCTACATGTAGCTGACCCACCTGTAGGCAGGGTGTCCTCTGTGGAGCCCTGTCGCTGTTGAATTTCGTATTGAATGTGAATCATTGTCTTTCTGCAAAACAAGACTGACAGCGGTGGGATTCGAACCCACGCCTCCGAAGAGACTGGAGCCTTAATCCAGCGCCTTAGACCGCTCGGCCACGCTATCGTGTAGCATGGGCCGCCCGCTGACCTGCCGCAGTGGCAGGTCAGCTACCTCAGCTTCCTGGTGGCGGGTCAGCTACCTGGTGGCGGGTCAACTACCTATAGGCAAGGTGTCCTCCGTGGAGCCATGTTGCTGTTGAATTTCGTATTGAATGTGAGTTATTGTCTTTCAGCAAAACCCTTCTGACAGCGGTGGGATTCGAACCCACGCCTCCGAAGAGACTGGAGCCTAAATCCAGCGCCTTAGACCGCTCGGCCACGCTATCGTGTAGCATGGGCCGCCCGCTGACCTGCCGCAGTGGCAGGTCAGCTACCTCAGCTACCTGTAGGTGAGTCAGCTACATGTAGGCAGGTCAGCTACCTGGTGGCGGGTCAGCTACATGTAGGCGGGTCAGCTTCCTGGTGCGGTACCTGGTGGCGGGTCAGCTACCTGTAGGTGGGTCCACTTCCTGCGGGCAGGTCAGCTACCTGGTGGCGGGTCAACTATATGTAGGGGGGTCCGCTTCCTGCGGACAGGTCAGCTACCTGGTGGCGGGTCAACTACATGTAGGCGGGTCCGCTTCCTGGTGGCGGGTCAGATACCTGTAGGCAGGGTGTCCTCCATGGAGCTCTGTCGCTGTTGACTATCGTATTGAATGTGAATTATTGTCTTTCAACAAGACCGTACTGACAGCGGTGGGATTCGAACCCACGCCTCCGAAGAGACTGGAGCCTAAATCCAGCGCCTTAGACCGCTCGGCCACGCTATCGTGTAGCACAGCACGCCCACTGACCTGCTGCAGTGGCAGGTCAGCTACCTCAGCTACATGTAGGCGGGTCAGCTACTTGGTGGGAGGTCAGCTACCTGTAGGCGGGTCAGCTAACCGGGTCCACTTCCTGCCCCCAGGAAGTGGACCCGCCTACAGGTAGCCGACCCGCCACCAGGTAGCGCACCAGGAAGCTGACCCGCCTACATGTAGCTGACCCACCTGTAGGCAGGGTGTCCTCTGTGGAGCCGTGTCGCTGTTGAATTTCGTATTGAATGTGAATCATTGTCTTTCAGCAAAACAAGAGTGACAGCGGTGGGATTCGAACCCACACCTCTGAAGTGACTGGCGCCTTAATCCAGCGCCTTAGACCGCTCGGTGCCGCAGTGGCATGTCAGCTACATGTAGGCAGGGTGTTTTCCGTGGAGCTCTGTCGCTGTTGACTATGGTATTGAATGTGAATTATTGTCTTTCAACAAGACCGTACTGACAGCGGTGGGATTCGAACCCACGCCTCCGAAGAGACTGGAGCCTTAATCCAGCGCCTTAGACCGCTCGGCCACGCTATCGTGTAGCACAGCCCGCGGTGGCAGGTCAGCTACCTCAGCCACCTGTAGGTGGGTCCGCTTCCTGGTGACAGGTCAACTACCTGTAGGCAGGTCAGCTTCCAGGTGGTGGGTCAAGTACATGTAGGCGGGTCCGCTTCCTGGTGGCGGGTCCACTACCTGGTGGCGGGTCAGCTACCTGTAGGCGGGTCAGCTAACTGGAGGTGGGTCAACTACATTTAGGCGGGTCCGCTTCCTGGTGGCGGGTCCGCTACCTGGTGGCGGGTCAACTACCTGTAGGCGAGTCAGCTACCGGGTGACGGGTCAACTACCTGTAGGCAGGGTGTCCTCCGTGGGGCTCTGTCGCTGTTGACTATCGTATTGAATGTGAATTATTGTCTTTCAACAAGACCGTAGTGACAGCGGTGGGATTCGAACCCACGCCTCCGAAGAGACTGGAGCCTTAATCCAGCGCCTTAGTCCGCTCGGCCACGCTATCGTGTAGCACAGCCCGCCCACTGACCTGCTGCAGTGGCAGGTCAGCTACCTCAGCTACATGTAGGCGGGTCAGCTACTTGGTGGGAGATCAGCTACCTGTAGGCGGATCAGCTAACCGGGTCCACTTCCTGGGGGCAGGAAGTGGACCCGCCTACAGGTAGCTGACCCGCCACCAGGTAGCGCACCAGGAAGCTGACCCGCCTACATGTAGCTGACCCACCTGTAGGCAGGGTGTCCTCTGTGGAGCCCTGTCGCTGTTGAATTTCGTATTGAATGTGAATCATTGTCTTTCTGCAAAACAAGACTGACAGCGGTGGGATTCGAACCCACGCCTCCGAAGAGACTGGAGCCTTAATCCAGCGCCTTAGACCGCTCGGCCACGCTATCGTGTAGCACGGCCCTCCCGCTGACCTGCCGCAGTGGCAGGTCAGCTACCTCAGCTTCCTGGTGGCGGGTCAGCTACCTGGTGGCGGGTCAACTACCTATAGGCAAGGTGTCCTCCGTGGAGCCATGTTGCTGTTGAATTTCGTATTGAATGTGAGTTATTGTCTTTCAGCAAAAACCTTCTGACAGCGGTGGGATTCGAACCCACGCCTCCGAAGAGACTGGAGCCTTAATCCAGCGCCTTAGACCGCTCGGCCACGCTATCATGTAGCACAGCCCGCCCGCTGACCTGCCGCAGTGGCAGGTCAGCTACCTCAGCTACATGTAGGCGGGTCAGCTACTTAGTGGGAGGTCAGCTACCTGGTGGCGGGTCAGCTACATGTAGGCGGGTCAGCTACTTGGTGGGAGGTCAGCTACCTGTAGGCGGGTCAGCTAACGGGGTCCACTTCCTGCCCCCAGGAAGTGGACCCGCCTACAGGTAGCTGACCCGCCACCAGGTAGCGCACCAGGAAGCTGACCCGCCTACATGTAGCTGACCCACCTGTAGGCAGGGTGTCCTCTGTGAGCCCTGTCGCTGTTGGATTTCGTATTGGATGTGAATCATTGTCTTTCTGCAAAACAAGACTGACAGCGGTGGGATTCGAACCCACGCCTCCGAAGAGACTGGAGCCTTAATCCAGCGCCTTAGACCGCTCGGCCACGCTATCGTGTAGCACAGCCCGCCCGCTGACCTGCCGCAGTGGCAGGTCAGCTACCTCAGCTACCTGTAGGTGGGTCCGCTTCCTGGTGACAGGTCAACTACCTGTAGGCAGGTCAGCTTCCAGGTGGTGGGTCAAGTACATGTAGGCGGGTCCGCTACATGGTGGCGGGTCAACTACCTGTAGGCGGGTCAGCTAACTGGTGGTGGGTCAAGTACATGTAGGCGGGTCCGCTTCATGGTGGCGGCTCCGCTACCTGGTGGCGGGTCCGCTACCTGTAGGCGTGTCAGCTAACTGGTGGTGGGTCAACTACATGTAGGCGGGTCCGCTTCCTGGTGGCGGGTCCGCTACCTGGTGGCGGGTCCGCTACCTCCGTGGAGCTGTGTCGCTGTTGAATTTCGTATTGAATGTGAATCATTGTCTTTCAGCAAAACAAGACTGACAGCGGTGGGATTCGAACCCACGCCTCCGAAGAGACTGGAGCCTTAATCCAGCGCCTTAGACTGCTCGGCCACGCTATCGTGTAGCACAGCCTGCCCACTGACCTGCCGCAGTGGCAGGTCAGCTACCTCAGCTACCTGTAGCTGGGGCAGCTACATGTAGGCGGGTGAGCTACCTGGTGGCGGATCCACTTCCTGGTGGCGGGTCAACTACCTGTAGGCAGGGTGTCCTCCGTGGACACCGCCATGTCGCTGTTGAATTTCGTATTGAATGTGAATTATTGTCTTTCAGCAAAACCCTTTTGACAGCGGTGGGATTCGAACCCACGCCTTTGAAGTGACTGGGGCCTTAATCCAGCACCCTACACCGCTCGGCCACGCTGTCACGTAGCACAGCCCACCCCCTGACCTGCCGCAGGTCAGCTACCTGTAAGCGGATGCGCTACCTGGTGGCGGGTCAGCTACCTGTAGGCAGGGTGTCCTCCATGGAGCTCTGTCGCTGTTGACTATCGTATTGAATGTGAATTATTGTCTTTCAACAAGACCGTAGTGACAGCGGTGGGATTCGAACCCACGCCTCCGAAGAGACTGGAGCCTTAATCCAGCGCCTTAGACCGCTCGGCCACGCTATCGTGTAGCACAGCCCGCCCACTGACCTGCCGCAGTGGCAGGTCAGCTACCTCAGCTACATGTAGGTGAGTCAGCTACATGTAGGCAGGTCAGCTACCTTGTGGCGGGTCAGCTACATGTAGGCGGGTCAGCTTCCTGGTGCGGTACCTGGTGGCGGGTCAGCTACCTGTAGGCGGGCCCACTTCCTGCGGGCAGGTCAGCTACCTGGTGGCAGGTCAACTACATGTAGGCGGGTCCGCTTCCTGGTGGCGGGTCAACTACCTGTAGGCAGGGTGTCCTCCGTGTACACCGCCGTTGAATTTCGTATTGAATGTGAATTATTGTCTTTCAGCAAAACCCTTTTGACAGTGGTGGGATTCGAACCCACGCCTTTGAAGTGACTGGCGCCTTAATCCAGCACCTTAGACCGCTCGGCCACGCTGTCATGTAGCACAGCCGACCCGCTGACCTGCCGCAGGTCAGCTACCTGTCAGCTACCTGTCAGCAGGTCGGCTACCTGTAGGCAGGGTGTCCTCCATGGAGCTCTGTCGCTGTTGACTATGGTATTGAATGTGAATTATTGTCTTTCAACAGGACCGCACTGACAGCGGTGGGATTCGAACCCACGCCTCCGAAGAGACAGCAGCCTTAATCCAGCGCCTTAGACCGCTCGGCCACGCTATCGTGTAGCACAGCCCGCCCACTGACCTGCCGCAGTGGCAGGTCAGCTACCTCAGCTACCTGTAGCTGGGGCAGCTACATGTAGGCGGGTCAGCTACTTGGTGGGAGGTCAGCTACCTGTAGGCAGATGCGCTTCCTGGTGGCGGGTCAACTACCTGTAGGCAAGGTGTCCTCCGTGGAGCCGTGTCGCTGTTGAATTTCGTATTGAATGTGAGTTATTTTCTTTCAGCAAAACCGTTCTGACAGCAGTGGGATTCGAACCCACGCCTCCGAAGAGACTGGAGCCTTAATCCAGCGCCTTAGACCGCTCGGCCACGCTATCGTGTACCATAGGCCGCCCGCAGACCTGCCGCAGTGGCAGGTCAGCTACCTCAGCTACCTGTAGGTGAGTCAGCTACATGTAGGCAGGTCAGTTACCTGGTGGCGGATCAGCTAAATGTAGGCGGGTCAGCTTCCTGGTGCGGTACCTGGTGGCGGGTCAGCTACCTGTAGGCGGGTCCACTTCCTGCGGGCAGGTCAGCTACCTGGTGGCGGGTCAACTACATGTAGGCGGGTCCGCTCAGGTAGCTGACCCGCCACCAGGTAGCGCACCAGGAAGCTGACCCGCCTACATGTAGCTGACCCACCTGTAGGCAGGGTGTCCTCTGTGGAGCCCTGTCGCTGTTGAATTTCGTATTGAATGTGAATCATTGTCTTTCTGCAAAACAAGACTGACAGCGGTGGGATTCGAACCCACGCCTGCGACGAGACTGGAGCCTTAATCCAGCACCTTAGACCGCTCGGCCACGCTATCGTGTAGCACAGCCCGCCCGCTGACCTGCCGCAGTGGCAGGTCAGCTACCTCAGCTACCTGTAGGTGGGTCCGCTTCCTGGTGACAGGTCAACTACCTGTAGGCAGGTCAGCTTCCTGGTGGCGGGTCAACTACCTGTAGGCGGGTCAGCTAACTGGTGGTGGGTCAAGTACATGTAGGCGGGTCCGCTTCATGGTGGCGGGTCCGCTACCTGGTGGCGGGTCCGCTACCTGTAGGTGTGTCAGCTAACTGGTGGTGGGTCAACTACATGTAGGCGGGTCCGCTTCCTGGTGGCGGGTCCGCTACCTGGTGGCGGGTCAACTACCTGTAGGCGAGTCAGCTACCTGGTGACGGGTCAACTACCTGTAGGCAGGGTGTCCTCCGTGGAGCTGTGTCGCTGTTGAATTTCGTATTGAATGTGAATCATTTTCTTTCAGCAAAACAAGAGTGACAACGGTGGGATTCGAACCCACGCCTCTGAAGTGACTGGCGCCTTAATCCAGCGTCTTAGACCGCTCAGTGCCGCAGTGGCAGGTCAGTTACATGTAGGCAGGGTGTCTTCCGTGGAGCTCTGTCGCTGTTGACTATGGCATTGAATGTGAATTATTGTCTTTCACAAGACCGTACTGACAGCGGTGGGATTCGAACCCAGGCCTCCGAAGAGACTGGAGCCGTAATCCAGCGCCTTAGACCACTCGGCCACGCTTTCGTGTAGCACAGCCTGCCCACTGACCTGCCGCAGTGGCAGGT